AAAAAGAAAACATGCCTAATAAGAGGCGGCAGAGTAGGAGTCGGTCGCGAAATCGCAGCTCGCATTCTAGCCAACATGATTCACGCTACAGACGACGTAGCACTTCAAGCAATATTTTAACCGAAACAATGCAACAAATTTTGAATAGATTGGTGTCATTAGAGGAACAACAGGTAGTGTCTTCATCTCAACGAAAGGAGTCTAGAGGCCGCGCTGCAGTGGAAGTAGCCAAGTCCGCGGTGCCTGTGGCAACCATCAGCGCCGAGCCCGTTCCTGCCGTGTCGATGCCGCCGCCGTCGCAGTTGGGCGAAGCTGTGACTGCGAGCACGCTTCAAGGGCGCGCTTCAGGCTTCAACGACTCCGTCCTCACCGGAGCGTCCCGCGAGCGCTACGTCAGTTCAGGCCAGCGCCGCCGACCGCATCATCGATGCGATACGATCCATAAATATACCGGTGAGATCTAACCAGTCTTATTATATTTCTAATTTTGATCCGAGTGTTAATGACATGTAGCACAGATTATAAAAGTTTCGCTTGCCTGCTCTCATATAACAAACGAAAATTTTTATGATATTATTATATTTAAAATCTAACCTTATTTGGTAAGAATATTGTAGTTTCAGTGTGAATTGTGGGATGAAGTGTATTATAATTTTGAGAGATAGAAAGCTGATGTTTTCTTCTGAGAAGATTTCCAAGAACCATGTGGTAATTACATTGTGTTTTTGTAGTACAATAGTACTATATTTTGTATTTTTTGTTGTTTTGACTATTATTCTATCTCACTACATATATATATTTTTTTATAACAGAAGGGGGCATCTCACTACATATCAAATAAAGCACCAATGACTACACTTTATATTTTATGTACGTAAATAAATCTTATTCCATATTTACGTTAAAATGTTGCTAAAAGTTTTTATATTCGTAATTACTTAGTAAAAGTCAATGAAATGAAAGTTCGCTTTGAAATTGTATAGAAGTTCTAAATAAAATAAAAGGTAATGCTTCACAAAACCGAATCAAGCCAAATTTCCATTACATATGTCTTAAACGATAGGGAATATTCTTACACTGTTTTGGAAGTTTTTTTTGGAGTCGTAACTTAAGTTGAAAAAAAACGAAGAAAACTACATAGGGTAAGTTAAGTTAGGAACAATAGAAAAGCCCAGAATAAGTAAAGCTAGGTTTATAAAATGTAATTAAACACCAAAAGCAAACTGTAAAGGTTAGGTTTGGAACATTTTTAATACCATAAAAAACATCGAAAAAGCGAAAACATTTTCTATTATAACATGTGATTTTATAAAAATTGTGAGTGTCAGCATGTTAAAAAACTGAAAACATATGAAACAATTTTATTATCTCACTGAAATAAATTAAGACCCCGGAAAATAATCTTCATAGCAATATATTCATCTTCAGCAATCTTATTAAATAAAATTATTATTCAAATGTTAAAAGACTTTGTTTATTGTTGTGTTTGGGTCGGACTTTAAAATGGGTGTGTGACTCACTTTCCAATGACAAATTGACCGAAATTTATTATCAAAAAGTACACATCTTAAGGTTTGTTTATAATAAAATTATGAATTACATCAACAATATGTGATCTTATAAAAAAAAAGATTAAAAGTTACCAGCAGTTACATCCAACCTCTAAAGTTTCTGTAACTTATTAAATAATACGAATAAGCTTTACAGTTATAATTAATAACAAAGGAAGAACATTGTATGAACAACTTATCAATTTTTAATACTTTCTGTTTTTAGGTGTGAAACAAGTAAAAAGTAGTTGAAAACATAATCAATGGATTCACAGAAATAGAATTTGAATAAAGATTTTACATTCTATTCATATTTAAAATAACTAAATGTTGAACTAGAACTTCTTTTGCTGATGGCTGAAAAATAAATTTACAATCAAAATTGATGAAAATAACATAAAAGTAAGTACATGACATGCCAAATTCTTTAAGGTTTTAATTCCCAAAGCACATATTTCCAGCAATTACTTGAACAATTTTAACCTTTTAAATTGGCTTGATATTTAGTATAAAATGGTTTGCACGAAACATGAAAAAGATTCAATAATAAAACTTAACTTAAACATTATTTAGGTTGTGTGTAGAATATCTCTCTATTATTGTTTCAAATATTGTAGATCAACCTGTAAATTGGTCATGTCATGACAAGTTTTTCAAACTAATTTGATTTATGATTCTGTCATAGACATTTCAGAAAAATGGCCAGGCAATAAAAATTCCTATCTGTACCTTTAAAGACTAATCATAATTTTTTTACATGGTTTGTGAGTTCCATCATTGTAGAGAAATGCAAAGAAGTATTGTAAGTAAATGGGGTGAGATCCATATAATCACAGAAAACCAGTTTTTTTTAATAAGTTTTGTAATTAGGTGAAAACCAATAATTAAATTGATTATGTTGTACATTTAAATCAATTAATTACCATTTCATTCTGTTGCAGATGAATGAATGCACCTCTTCAAGGTCTACAGAATTATTAAATGAAGGAATCTGCTTCAGAATTACTGACTGCATGTCGCTGCAACATCTGTGCTACAAAGTTTGATTGTTTGAAATATTGTAATTCTAAACTAAATTTTGAAAAATAACTTATTATATGGAGTAGTTTAACCGCAAATCTAAATGAGAGTCACCATGTTGCAGGAAATGCTAGTAACTATATTAATGTCAATATTGATATATAGATGTGTAACCTATAGATTTAGTGTTTTATATTAGTTTGATGTTAATAATATGACAATTTTTAGAAATATGTATTAGACTTTAATATAAAATATACACTAGCATAATAAGATTTTCTCGAAATTGGGAAATGCAGTGTATAGAAAATAAAAATATACTAAAATATAGGGAATTAAGTATCAAATACAAAAGATAAAAAAAAATACCATTTAGTGAAAAATATGAAACAAAATTAATTTATTAAATTTGGATTTAACTAATATCACAACTTATAATATATCTTAAATTTTTTTTAAATAAGAAATAAAAAATGAACAGAGAATTTATACAATTTTCTTAAAAGTTATTTAAATTTTAACACAGGTACTTTACCCCAAAATGATGCCTCATTATTTTTACTTGTTAAGGAATCTATAGGTTACACATCTATGGAGAATAGTAATAACAAAAGATATGCGGAATCTTTAGGTTCATGATAATTTTATGAATTTATCTGAAAGTAAAACTTAAATATTGTATTCTATTTTTACATTACATAATATTTAACATGACTTGTACAGTGTATGTTTTGATAGAAAAAGTTTGGATTAGGGGACTATTTCGAGCGTCGGCAGTGCAGTTGGCGCTTGACCGGATCATATTTTATATATCCAGGTACGATCTCCGCTATATAGTAATGCGTTCTTCGACTTTCATGATAACATCCATCCGACATTCTTAATGTAATTACAAATCGCATACAACTGCATAGAAATTCAAAGTCAACCAACCCTCACTGGCTCTGTGTTGTTGAATAAAACCTAGTCGCATTCTTGAGGGTAGGCTCCGAGCTCCTCAGTGGAATATAGTGTGTCCGTATAATGAGCTTGATGATGACAATTTGTTTTGCTTCAATGCATATTGTCTTGTTAGCAATTTTCTAAATATTTTACCAACAGATAGGAGCTAATCTCTTTCCAGTGTTATTCTATTTCTCCCGACGAGAGTGGCACTACTACTCCAGTTCTATCAGAAAATATGAGCTATCAAATAAACAAACTGGAACAAATAAGCATTTATCAAAGTTGGGGTATTTTGTTGGTGAACTAAACAATATTGGTATTATTACGAAAGCAATGAGCATTATGTTGCGTTCTTAAAATATGTTCGCTTTAGTGAGAAGATTAAATTAAAGTTGCAATTAACGAAATTGTTTTATTTTTCCAAAATTGTATTCCCTCGAATTATACTTTCAAACGTCAAAAAGCGAACTGACAGATTGATTTTTTTAGGTTGGTAGCAACGTTGACTTGTTCATAATATTGCTAGCATTGAAAATGTCAATTTTTATTCTCCGTTTGTGTCTCTAATTAGTCAAGAAACCCGTCTCTTATTTTGTATACTCTTTGAAGACAAGGCGAATTTCAATACTTAAACACGGAAATTATTGGTCAAAAAGCAGGTGCCGTGTTTTTCCTGAATTCGAATTGGTTATAAATAAACACAGTAGAAAAGAACCAATCAGCGATATTTATATCGTATGTATAAATAACGTTGACGTTTGGATTTCTTTGTTTTTAATTTTAGATACACAGTTCACTGGTAATGTGACCATTTTTGTAAATAATTTAAAATCAAACTCATTTTTTATTGTTTGAATTTGAAACCAGTAGAGTACAAATTGCTTGCATTTAAAACAAAAACAAATATTGCACTTAAAATTAAACTGTGGGTTGTTTTTGCAGATGTTTTGTGGACAGGTAAAATATAAAATATTTTTGTAGCCTTTTTACTGAAGCTTTTTTCAATTTTTGACTGAGCATTTTGTATTTATAGGTAATAGTGACGAATATTGTAATTAAATAATTAATACTCACAGCAAATTCTTTCCGAAAGTTTTAATAAGTTTATTACGCATCGCGTATCCGATCATAGAGGACACGGCATTCGACATTCGAGATAGAAAGTTTGACGTATTGACGTTTACGGTTTTGGTTTTGGTGCGGTTTACCTTAGTTAAGCACAGCAAAACGTATAACTTGTTGACCAGGAACTGGTTTTTAATTTAAAAAAAGTAGATTATTTAATGTATAAACATTGAACTGTAAATTGGGTAAATATTTTAAATTTGGCATTATTGTAAATACTTTGAACTTCTTAAAAATTGCGTATATTTGTCACTTCAGTCTTAAAACCTACTTTTATCTAATTGTGTTTTAAACCTATTGTGTGTTATTAGCAAGTATTGTGTTATGGTGACTAAAAGCAATGGTTATGTTGATGTTTGTGAAATAAAAGTGCTTTTCAACATCAGTGAGCTAAGCGGGTTTGCTTATACCTTTGTTGTTTGTAGGTCCGCGGCGAGTCAAGTTGTCACTTGTGTCGGAACTGACATGTGGCACTGAAAGAAAACTGAACTTTGATTTTGTTGAGTTAAAATGTTTCGAAGTAAAATAAGAATACACACGTGTCGCATAATATTATTAACATCGTTAGTCTGGCTGCTAGTGGATGTTGCGCTCTTAGCTCTCTACTCTGACTGCTTCGGCGATGGTTGTAGTAAGAAGACAAGTGAAGTTGTTGTCAGGGTAAGTTTTTGTACTTTACCTGACTATTATTGTTTAACATTTTAATAAGTCCATGACTTAAAGAGTTTCAAGATCCTATCACATTGTCTATAACTGTTTAATCATGCTTGAACTTAATCAATAAAATTTTGTTAATGAAAATTGAACATTAATATTCTAATACTTGTTTGTAAATTACATAATATATAAATAAATTAAAAGAATATATACATTCAATTAATTTTCATGAATGAAAAATGACTTGCATTTATCAACTAGCCACTTAATCTTCGTTGATATCATATTACATAAAAGTTTAAGTCCCGTAACTAACATTATTATGTAGATACATAATAATGTTTGTTACGGGATTCGTTTTTTATATTTTTTAACTAAGGAAAATCTTAGCGATTGTGTTCTAAAGTTTTCATTGTCAAGATAACTTACTTAAAATAAGGAGTAATAAATTAGCTTTAAAAATAATCCCATTCAATTGTCAATACAACATAAATTATATTACTATGTTGTAAAAAACATTGACATTTACTTATTCCCCATGAAATTGCATCATTAAGAATCATAGGTAAAAAAAGTAGTAAAGTTCATTGCGCATGTTTTGATGAATTATAGACTATATTAATTATATCATTGCATAAGAAATTATAAATTAATGAAATAATAAAAAATATTTTTATTCAAATAATTGCCAAATGAGTCACAAAATAAGAAAGTGAAAGTGAATGTAACAGGGTGCTAAGTTCCTAGAAACTGTATGCATATACAATTTACAATTGTCTGTTGTATAACTTGTAAAAGCACATATAAAAATATTCTGTGCATTATTTCATTGCTTGTAATGGTTGCAAACAAATTTCTTGAGGTTAAGTCTTGAAAATATTTTACTGAAATTTAATCAAAATCTATCATATATAGCTAGACAGCTTGCTATATGTTAGTCAACATATACACTGATTTTGTAGGTATATGGTCATTACTGATTTTAGTATCTTCCTTATATGTTGTAGCTATGTATTTACTCCCCTTATATATCCCCTTGTCTTTGTATTTACCACATTACAATGTAAACTAATTTAGTACAACTTTGTCCATGCAGCCTTAAAAAAAAATCTTGTAATGTATATAGGTTATAGAATGTAAGCATAGTGTAGCTTCCCAATAGTGAAAGAATTTTTCAAATCAGTTCCGTAGTATCAGAGCCTATTAAATGAAAACAAATCAACAATCAAATCTTTCCTCTTTATAATATTAGTGTCAGATATCTGTGATTTTATTTTAGAGTAAAGATACAGAAGAGCTCCGTGGTAAAAGAGGTGCGATAGCAGCAGGTTTACGGAGCAAAGTAGAAGATGAGGAAACTAATCTAGAGGAGAATGAAATAGAGCAAGACATTGGTGATGATGGGCTAATGCTGCCACCATATCCAAAGTCACGGCTAAAGAGGTGGTCAGTGGTGCCACCTGTGAGGCCACAGGGTGACTCTCCCGGAGAAATGGGTATGAATAATAATAATAGGATTTATAAAAATAAACATTAGAATGATTAAAATTGTGAAGTGCCTCTTGCAAAATCAGTGGACAACCCTAGGGTGAAGAAAACAGTTTCCTAAGCTAGGGTTGCCAAAAATTAGTGTAGGGTTGGCACATGCTAATGTGAAATATTTGGTATAAAGATTTTTAAATTTCAGGTAAAGCTGTTAACATTCCAATAGAACAAGAGAAACTTATGTTGGACAAATTCCAGGAGAATCAATTTAATTTGTTAGCTAGTGATATGATCTCCTTAAATAGATCACTAACAGATGTCAGATTTGAGAAGTAAGTCAAGTACATTTATAGAAATAAACTGCTTTAAAAGGTGTTACAGCTGTATAAATTATTAATATATAAAAATTATTATATTATTACCATTAAGGCATATTTTTTTCTAGGTGTAAAGGGAAACCCTATCCAGAATTACTGCCTACAACTAGTGTTGTGATAGTCTTCCACAATGAGGCATGGACAACTCTTATCCGAACAATTTGGAGTACAATAAATAGATCGCCTCGTCCATTGCTCAAAGAGATCATTTTAGTCGATGATGCAAGTGAAAAAGGTATGTTTAAATAGTAATAAACATTTCTTAGGTAATATATAAATTGCACTATTAAGGTTAACGCGCATCCATCCACGCTCTCCGAACATAGCCTCGCGATTAGCCGCCATCTCTAACTTTTTCTCTTCTTGTTAGCAATATGTTATGTCATTCTTATTTACACGGGCCTATGGTATACTAGGGGACTGCGAAACTTCGACGACTTATCGCAATTTGTCTCTTCATCCCGCTCAATCGTCGACGTAGAGGTGGCGGCGAGTGAATGCCGCGACGATCGTAACGCGAGACTGTGCCGGAGGAGTAATGCGCGCTAACCTTTAATCATGATTATTAAACAATAGTATTCATTCATTTATATTTATCATTTTAACATTTGTTTAAATAATAATTACGATAAATTAACGTAATAATTATTCAGCTGTTATTATGTACATGATGAATAGAATATTTCTTGAAAATGTCACTACAATTAAATAATAAACTATTTATTGTAAGAAAATATTATAGAGAAAAGTAAAAACAATGATTCCTTGATATTGTTTATATTTCTGTTTGACAATTTGCTGGTAGTTTCTAAGTTCAGTTGTTTTTTATAGTATTCTATTTACATTATTCTGATATATAAAATTCTCGTGTCACAATGTTACCATACTCCTCCTAAACGACTTGACCGATTTTTATGAAATTTTATATGCATGTTCAGTACGTCTCTGAATCGCCTACTCTCTATTTTTTTTAATCAATCCCGCGTGGACCGAGTAGCGGGCGACAGCTAGTTATTTATAATAGAACTAGTTTTTCTTATCTCCGTAACAAGAAGAACAATTGTATCTTGGTGCTGATTAGAACTTCGTGTATTTTTAACGGTGAAATAAAAACACAATTTTGGTTAAAAATTTAATATTTGCAGAATCTTATCGCCTTGTAATGATAATGATAAATGTTAAATTGCTTATCACAATTGTTTTTAAAGATTAATATGTTAAATAAATTAATGTGATTTTATAGTAATTTAAAGATTATATATTAACGCGTATACAATATTTTATTTAAGATTAGATACAATTTTTAAACAAATATCCATTCAAAGCAATTATAGTAAGCAAGTATTATTGTGCTCTTAAACTTTTTCCGTGATATGAATCGTAATTAAATTTCTGAGACCTCTTATTATATCTTGATAGCAAACCCTTAATAATTCGTAATTTTATAATATAATAGTTACTCTAAAAGGAGCTGAAGGAAATAATTTTATGGCATTAAGTGCTAACTTCTATTAAAAAAAATCTATTAAAAAAAATAAAGAAAATTGTGTATGTATTTGTTTATTATCTTTGATTGTTTAGAACACTTGGGCAAAAAATTAGAGGATTATATAAAAACACTGCCAGTACCGACACATCTCTTTCGAACGGAAAACCGCTCCGGTCTTATCCGGGCGCGACTTTTGGGCGCGAAACATGTACAAGGAGACGTCATTACATTCTTAGATGCACATTGTGAATGCACGGGTAAGTTACATATATTTTTATTAATAAATCAAATGTTCTCTATAAATGGATAGGTTGTTGCTTAAAAATAATAAATCTTTATTACTAGTTCAATTTCTACATACCAGCCATAATCAGATAGGCACAAAACAATACGTCTTATAGCCTGTCCATTTATAAAGTTGGTTTTAGTACAGAATTATTGCCAGTTGCCAGTAACATTGTTTCGTAATATTGAAATAAGCATCTGCTAAGAATATAAATTCAACGCTAAGGTTACAGGAGATCATGATGGAATGGATACAGACTTACATACTAAATGTATCCTCAAAGTTTACTGTCTTTTCAGTCAGGCAAAGACAAAATTAACGCGTATTATCCTCTCCTTTAAATAATTGTTAAGCGAATGGGTATTTGAGGTCAAACGTTTAAAAATGATTGACTCTTTCATGTTGCCTATTGATGCTTGTTTTATTTCTTAGTTTATAGCAGATGTTATGTGCTTTTTAGTGTCAAATATATTATAATAACGCAGTAAATATAATTATCACATTGTTGAGAAAGAATTAGGATAGGTTTACATGTGTTAACTGAATAATCTGTATCCTGTATCCACTTAAATCTATATTAACAGAGGGCTGGTTGGAACCTCTGTTAGCGAGGATAGTAGAAGACCGTACTACTGTGGTATGTCCCATCATTGATGTCATCTCAGACACGACCTTCGAGTACATACAAGCATCCGACATGACATGGGGTGGATTCAATTGGAAATTAAACTTTAGGTGGTAAGTATAAAGTTCAAATTGTAATATACTCTTTGTTGTAATAGAATACAGGAAGCGTGCAGTTGTCTATGATAGATAAGTTAGGAAAAAATTAATTTCCTTTATTTTTTCCTGTAATAACTTTGTGTTAGTAATTTTTATCTATGACTAGAATTGTGTTATTAGTATTATTTTGTTGTTTATATGCTTTTTATATTTTTATAGGCTTAACCTTTTATACGCCGATGGAAATTTCCATTTAATTACTTTTACTTTCAGCGTGTTCCCACGCTAGTATAAAGACAATACCAAGTAGCATTGACTTATTTCAAGGTTTTATTTGACTTTTTAACAATAGCGCAGGTATCTTTATCGCTGTAACACATTCAATGCCACTACAATTTTTTACAAATGAACTCGTCAGGCAAATTCGTGGCACTGTATATGTTAACATATGTTATATCAGTGTTTGAACAGTGGTAGAGCCCGCTTTAACATTTTCGCACGAATTGGCCCGGCTCGTCCGGTGAAATACCACGACCACACAAGACAGGCGTCAAGTGGAAGCAATTCCGCGTTTCGTCTGATGAGTGTGCGTCCCGGAGGCCTAATTTAGTCTTCTTTCCCTTACCACCCTTTTTCTTATCAGGAAAGGATGGGAAGTGGAAGTGGACTTTCCGGATGAGAGGATGCATAGGAAGGAAAAATATTTCTTTCTGTGCATCCTCTCCTACGGCGATTAAAGGTAGGCAACGCATATACAATTGCGTATGTCTATGGGCAGCGGTCGCTTCGCTATTTCAGCGATTTTAAATGGCGGCTCGCTTGTTTGCCACTTTATGATATAAAAAAAAATATCTCTGCGTTACTTTATATGGATTAAGTTAACAGTTATTAATAACTGGTAACTATAAATAGGTTAGCAGGAAAGCAATCAACCACATTCAAGGACGTTGCACAAGTTTGTTTTGATTGTGTAATACTATTGTTCTCGACATCTCCAATGAAAATCCTTTGATTTATTTCTACACTACGAATTGAATGAAACCTTTTTCAGATTCGTAGGTTGTTAAAGTTTGTATTTTATATTAATGAATCATTGTGGTGTTGAAAATATTTAATGGTAACGAATTATTAAAATATTTTCGCAAATTATTTTTTAACGATTCATGATAATTAAATAGTTAATATTAACGATAATTGAATCATTAAGTAATGCATCGCAATTTTGATATTTCGAAATTTTGACTTGACAAATATTTTATATATTAATCAACAAGAAGATTGATTGCTGAAAGTTATGTAGAAGTTTAAATTGATTATGAATGCTTAAAGAAATCAAATACGAAATGCACGCTTGTAAATTTCTCCCCGAATCCATTTAATGATTGGATTTTTATGACAAGACATGTGAATTTAAGATACTTGATTTAAGTATCGCTTTGCGAAATGGATAACAATTTTTACTTCGCAATAATGTAAGATGTTTATAACAATACTTTGTAATATTATTTTTTCTATCCATGAATTGAATTCAGCAACAATTTCGTCTAAAAAAATGTTACTCTATACTACAATATACCTTTTGTAATTCAAAGACCATTGAACACGTTCCGTGCCACAAGATATCGACACTGGCGTCAAGTTGGCGTGAACTCGCTAGGAAAGTCATCAGCACTGGACGTGTTGAAAATTTACTCTATGAATAGGTGGTTGCTGTATGAGCTCGATTTTCTTCTTTAGTTTGTCGGCGTACTTCTATTTTGTCCCAGGAGTCGTGACTCTAGGATTGGTAAATACTTGACTATCCCCTGTCCAGGTACCGTGTACCGGAGCGCGAGATGTCTCGTCGCGGTGGGGATCGCACGGCACCGCTGCGCACGCCCACCATGGCGGGCGGTTTGTTCGCAATCGACCGCGAGTATTTCTACAAGATCGGCTCCTACGACGAGGGCATGGACATCTGGGGCGGGGAGAACCTGGAGATGAGCTTCCGGGTATCGTATGAATTGTCTAACTGACATCTGATAGTTGTGGTCGTTACAAATATTGTTATAAAAGATCCGTTTTCTAAGCTAAGCTTCTCTTGTGTTTACGTCTATTGTCATGTTTGGAAAGTACTTCAGATATTTTCTGTTTTAGATTATGTAGTATAGTAGCTTTTGTCTGCGACTCCGTACGTGCAGAATTAATAAATAACTTAATAAGCGTACTCTTCAAGTCTATGTTCGACATTTATGCCAAATTTCAGCAAGATCTGGTGAGTCTTTCTATATAGAAGTAACAAACATCCATCCAAACATGTCTTGCCTTTATTATCATGAGTGACAATATTGTGAGGTAAGATATGTGAGTGGGGTGAGACAAGGTAGTGACATAGTTGTGGGTGTGGCAAGGTGTGGCAGTGCGGCGGGTCACTGGAGATAGTGCCGTGCTCGCACGTGGGGCACGTGTTCCGCGACAAATCGCCCTACTCCTTCCCCGGCGGTGTGCAGAACATCGTATTGCACAACGCGGCGCGCGTCGCCGAAGTCTGGATGGACGAGTGGGGAGAGTTCTATTACGCCATGAATCCAGGTTCGATACTTGGTTGTGTGCCTTGACCGTTCACATTTTGCTGCTTTTACAACCACCCGTGGTAAATTATCCGTCTCTTTAAAGAAAACAGAGGGTCTATCACGAATATTTATAACAAACGTTGTCGTAACGTCATATATGAATATCTGTACTTTACGCCCTATACAATTTTTGTTATACTTTTTCGCAAATCTTCGTGCTAGGCTCTCAGTACAGAACTTTTCCTAACTCGACTTTATTAGGGTAGTGTTTAAAAAAAAATGGAATTATTTAAAGTATTGACACTACATTTTTTAATTTCTTCATCTAAACATAATGTTTTCAAAGATCGGAGTTCTCTAACTCCATATTGATATTGCAAGCAAAATGATAGCGGTCTATAGGTGAAATGATAAAGTTTTGTTGTGGCTTGGGTTAACAATGAAATAGTGCAAATGTTTATGTGAACATGTTATTAACACTTAAATATAACGAGCTTCTTAACATCCAGTTAACCGGCATTGCAGCTGCATTAATTTTTTTATTACTTGCATGCTTATTTCGCCATACTTTTTTCTATTTCCTTTTTTGTTTTAATTGTTATTCTTCGATATTTCAGCCTGTGATTCAGAAATTGTTTTTCTTATATTTTTCGCTGTTTTTCTACTTTTTTCTTGTTTTTTTTTGTTATTCTCACGCTTCTTCGTAATGCAGAAGCAATGAAGAGTGTTTTGGATAAATATTAAATATATATAAGTAAAAAGAAACATTAAGTCTATAACCACAGCAACACTTATCGCGTAAAGAGCTGTGGCATATATATTTTGATATATTTCCTTTTTTTTTACATTTTTTAACCTATATACATAAATTAAACTTCTACCATATATAGAGAATCTTAATCTATTTTTGTGGGCGTTTGAAACGACTTTCAATTGTGATATTCGATAATATAAGTATTTATTGACCTTTAAAATATAAAGAAATAGTCAATAACTATATCAAATCACTTAAAACTGCATAACATTTAATTAATTGTATAAATATGTCAGCTCGAATAAATAAATCCCGCGTTAAAAAGTATTGCATCGGTTCAATTTCATGGCACACTAGTTGTCGCTCGCGACTTCTCTCCGCGGGATTACAAAAACATTATTAGTAGCCATGTGTTCTTCTAGATTATGGTCTACATCTATGCCAAATGACAGCGAAATCCATACAGCCGTTCTGGAGATACCTTCAAACAACAAACTATTCATACATCCATTTAAACATTCGCATTTATAATATTATTAAGTAATAATAATTATTAATAACAGTGCGTGTGTATAGAACGAATGAGTCAGTAATACGAGGAAATTTCGCACTAACTCATTGAGTAATAAAAAGATTGATTCCATTCATTCATTTAAAAATAGTATAATCTTCCGATGCGTGACAATAGTTTCAAAGCTTTGTCAATTCAACAACTATTTTCATTGTATGCATTATTATTATTAATTATTAAATAATATTAAAATATTTATTACTAATAGTATAATATTAAATAAAACTTTGCCACAGTTCTTTACTCATCATGGCTTAATAGAATCGATTCGAATGACATTAATTGTTTTTACTATCAAATTAACATTCCACACCGATGTTTTACATAATAACTAATGCCTAACTAATTTTTGACATAATTAACAGATCGGTTAAATTAGGATTTTTTTTTCGAGTAATATAATTGTCTTGAAAACCTCTATATTGCTATATAGATGCCCACCAAATTTGTTGAATTATTGAGTAAGATTCTTGATATCAAGCGAAACACGATTACTTATAGTCTTATCGTGGGTTTTCTGAGACCAAAATCCTCGTTTAAGAGATTGACCTCTCTGTTTGGTCAAAGACAGGGATGACGATATGTTTTATACAGATATTTAGTCTCAGAAGCCAACAGTTATTAATGAGAGACAGTTATAATGCTTGTCAAAATGAGGGTATTATAAAATAATATATTTGTTTGTGATAACATTGTCCCACCTTGTTTTAATCATCCAGCTTGTGACAGGAGTCACTAACAATGCATTGCATCATCAATAAACAAAATTCACAGCTCTATTGTTTTTGCTTATCAATAAAACATATTGTCGTACAGATTGTATAAAGTCTGTGAGCAGATAAATTTGTGTTAAAATGCTATTAATTTGCGGGGTCAATTCATACATTTTAATGCACGCTAATCGCATAGATCGTGTGAAGATACGATATAAAATATATAGAAATAACGAAAAGAATGCGCTTCTCAAACTTTGTTTTTAGTATAAATATTTTCAATATGTACACTATGGACTTTGACTGCGAGTCTGGCCGTGAGCCGCTTTAAAAAAAGATAACCGTAACACCCTTACATCAGCTTTTACTTTTAATAAAGTATTTTCATGTGTTTTATATCAAATTGTTAAGTCTCTGTACACGGTTTTAGTCTGAGAAGTTTGAGAAGCACTATTTTGTTGAATATTTAGGAATGTATTTGATTTTTGAATGACACGAGCTGGTGAATTTTGTTGCATAACATAACATGGTCGTGGTATTGGGTGTTTACGTAACTCGCCACGTCGCGAAGGACATTGCCCAGAGCTGTAGGACGTTAAACCTTCAAAATAAACTTAAATATTATAACTAAACAATATTTATTATTGCGGTCAACAGGTCAAACGATGTCTTTATTCATATTGGTCAATAATTAACATAAATCTACAATATGTTTATCAGATTACCATACAAATTATAATGTTAATTTGGGCGTAAAATTTATATGCGATACGGCTGCACAACTAGTGATTAATGTAATAAGAACTTAAGTATACAAATTTTACACTTTTACTTAGGTTACGTAACAAATTGTAAACAGATTGCATTTGCAGTGTGTTATTAAAACAAATGTTGATAACGTAAAATAATATGAATGACCAAACAAACTTGGTTACTGTACTTATTTTTAATTTAATGTACATTATCGTCTCTAAATAAAACGCAGAATAAAAAAGTATGTGGTCTAAAACAGACGAATTCAAATATATTCTATTAAACGTGTTCAAACTTTAGACTCCGTTTATCAAAAACTAGCTTTTGACCGCGACTTCGTCTTCGCGGAGTTAAAAAAAGAAACGGAACAAAAAGTATCCTATGTCCGTCTCCTGGTTCTAAAGCCGCTTCAGAGTTATAGTGTAACTAATACGACTTTCTCCATAATATATAGATGTGCCCAAATGCTGATATTCCATGTTTATAACGATTAGACCAAGCAATTTATCTTTAAAAATGTGTAAAGTAGTAGTTTTGTGTAACGAAGTCGCGTAAGCTCTGGGTGTTCGCGACGTGTCGGGTGACGTGGTGGGGCGTGCGGGGCAGGTGTGGCAGTGCGGCGGGCGGTTGGAGATCGCGCCGTGCGCGCACGTGGGCCACGTGTTCCGCAAGACCACGCCCTACAGCTTCCCCGGCGGCACGGGCCGCGTCGTCAACCACAACAACGCCCGCCTTGCCGAAGTCTGGCTCGACGAGTGGAAGCATTTCTACTACAATATCAACCCAGGTCTCATCATGCTTACGATGAATCTTTCTTTTCGCTATTTGTCAAGCTATTGCTTTGCTAACTCACGCTCATAACTCAAAGGTGTAGGTATGTTGAGTTGTTCGTTGTATTCCGCTCTAGCGAAAATTAAGATTCGGAGTAAGAGGGCTGATTTACAATTTGTTTTTCGATTTGAAATAACGTTTTGAAACAGTAATCTGAGATTTATAACTGATTTCTCATCCTCTAATAACTAAACTAATCAACCATCAATTTTACTCTGATATAATTTAAATCACATAATTCAAGGCAATCTTTTTAATCTTTAACTATTCAGATCATTTCTTTTTAACATGCACATTGTACCGGAAGTTATTTCATTCAATCAAAAATAGGTTCGAAATTTATTATTTTATAAAAACAATAACACTTGTTATGAAAATAATATTTTGACCTAATATAAAAAATACTATTCGTATTTCAGAATACTGTTTCATTAACGTTATTGTCTTGCATGTAAAATAAAAAATTGTTGATTTTTTTAATTGCATGTCGTGAGAAAATAATATTTTCCATTAACTTTGCTAATTTTAGCTAACTAAAATCAATAACCATTTAACTACAAACTATGGATTTATTTTTCGTATGTTTTGTGTTTTTATTTTGTAGTATCGTGTCAAAGAATTATTATACTTTTTATTTTTAGCAATTGATAAAGTTGATGACCATCAGTTAATTTAAAAAAAAATGACATAATTTATATATGAACAAGCCTAAAGTTATGAAATAAGCATGCATGTATACGTAGAACATTACAGGCTTGAAAGTTCTAGAACATTTTTAACTATCAATCTATACTTGGTTGTTGGGTACAGGTGCACTGAACGTGCCCGTTGGTGACGTCAGCGAACGCAAGGCTTTAAGACAGAAGCTCAAATGTAAAAGCTTCAGATGGTACTTGGAAAATATTTACCCAGAGAGCCAGATGCCTTTGGACTACTACTTCTTGGGAGAGGTTAGTGATAATTGATTTTAATAGCTTTCAAGGAATTGTAGACTGTCATTGTTAATTAGTTTTTTAAAATATTTTTAGCACTTGCGTAGATTTTTTTGAGAAGCTATTTATAACTATGACAAATTTTATAAATTAAAAGATCCATTTTTACACATAAAATAATAAAATCGAATAATAATTGGATCCAAGCTGAATCAGTAAACAAATATGTAAATTAGAATAAAAAAATCAGTGAACTGGTTTCTGTCCATACCGGATTTAGTGTAAAATCGGTGGCTTTGATTTACGATAAAATCGATTCGGTGAACGACAACGTTTGGCCTTGACCGATTTTTATGAATTAATGTTATTGTTATGATATTGATGAAATTTAAATTAATTTTTCATACGTATTAGATATATCATTTATGATAGATATTGTTTTATATGTCGTAAATTGCATATTTGCCTAAATATGGTCTACTTTACAGTACCTTTTTAATTTTTGATAAACAGTATAGAAACTTTGACAAATGATATCAGACTATGCGTGCGCGCCACCGACTTAGTTTTCATTTTTTCTTCCCATTCATTGCCATAACTTTATAGTACAGAGGGCAGCTGATCAATTAGAAATTTAAATATATAATTAAATTCATGTTCATAATCAGATACGTAACGCGGAGACATCGAACTGCCTCGACACACTGGGCGGCAAGGCGGGTCAGCCGCTGGGTATGGGCTACTGTCACGGCATGGGCGGCAACCAGGTGTTCGCTTACACCAAGCGCAAGCAGATCATGTCCGACGACAACTGCCTGGACGCCGCTCACCCGCGCGGCCCCGTCAAACTCATCCGCTGCCACGGCATGCGCGGCAACCAGGAGTGGACCTATGATGTTAAGGTATACTGTCGCAGTTGGTTCTATCAGAATATATATAAAACATCATTAGACATAGAAAAGGACATTAAAAAAAACTATGGACATTTTTGGTTTTTGACAGAGGGCGCTAGTGAGCTGTCATAGTTTACTTCTTTAGTTTAGTTCAGGCTTTAGGTTTGTTCTTATGTTCTATTATATTTTGACCGACTTTAAAAAAAATTGTAACCTATTTCAGACACGTTTGTAAGTTTAAAGCGGATTGTATGAGGCAAGTTGTTTGTGTTGCAGACGCGTACAATAAAGCACAGCAACACGGGCATGTGCCTGGAGAAGCCGGAGTCGGGCGACGTGTGGAAGCCGGTGCTGCGGGCGTGCTCGCGCGCGCGCTCACAGCAGTGGCTGATGCAGGTCGACTTCAAGTGGCAGGCGCGCCACGCCTCCCGCGCCTCCCGCTCCTCCCGCTCCGCCGACCGGCCCAGCTAGTGACCTCGCACAACGTAACTAACACTACACTCATCACATACATGTTAACTAAGGCATTCTTAGGGATTGTGGCCCTTACAGACACAACAATCTCAAGCGATATGTCCCGAGGCATTCTAGTTCACCCGCTGCTTAGACTCCACATTCGTTTCGTTTGTGACCATTTGGATATTACTTCATGTGTTATATGTTTTGATGCGCGCTCGCGAGTCAATACAAACAAGCCCTAAGTGTAGGTTCAGTCTAGAAATAAAAATAAAACTACTAAGAACCCATTACCGTATATTAGGTCATATCGCAAGCGTTACAGTAATACTGTCCCAAATAAAAACCTTACAAACTAGAAATTCATTATTTAAATGTCTTCAAGCAGTTTAAGACTATAACGTTTTTTTTACTTTTCTATTGCAGGAACAACGATAGACCATCAAAGTCTTCCCCCGTCATTAGTAATATCAGATTTTATTCCTTATTCCTATATCAAAAGTAATGTAATTAGATGTAACGCCTCGGCACTCGGGCCACGTGAATTGTTGACAATACGATGAGAGAATGCTATAATATTTTGTATTCCCTAACGAAAATATGTAAAAACTTGCTCAAACATGGCATATAATATGCTATTCTGTAAATTGTACTGTCCTGCTTTATAATTAATGTGGATTTTATATCCAATAAGTAATTTTTGTTACGTAAATACGAAAAAATTTGAAATTTTATTGAGATTATTTTTTTTATACTGGCAACACTCAATTGTAGTTATTGTTCTTATAATCACAGTTTATGCAAAAAAGCACAAATCCTGCAAATTAAATATTTGTATATAAAAATAATATTTCCTTAATACTTCTATTGAGTGTGGGCTATTAAAATATTAAATTTTATTTGTATAAAATACTCCAATGACTTGCAAGTTGAGATTATATTAAAAATCCTTTGTTTAATTCACATGATATAGTTTAAATTTGTTAGTAACACAGTTGACAGATCTAAATAGTGTAAGAGCATGTTTCTTGTATATGTGTCTAGTTTGTCTATGCACATAAATGTGTGCCTATTTCATTGTCTATGGTTCGCTGTCATTGTACAGGGTCTACAACATTTACTAACTGTACAAGTGCCTGTCCATTCCTTAATGTCATTTATTTTTAATATTATTATATACCATGCATTTATACATTTTCCATTATATAATACTTGTAGAGAAAAATACATAATTGTTTATTTCATATAAAAATTAAGTGTTCATAGTCTGTTGATAGATTTTTACTAGAAATTTTGACTAATGTCACAGCGACTTAGATATCTTCCCATTTGGTATATTAATGGTAAAAAAAAACCGTAACAATTTTTTTTATTATATTTTTTTCTATTATGATGAAATTGCGGTGCTATATACTTTATTTGTAACATCTCATGCCCTTGTTATAATTTTAACGGCACTATTTTGTGCCATATTTATTGCCAATCCGCCCTTTATTTGCCACGTATATTTAGCTTATATTTATTTGAAATTCATTATTATATAGACTTTATTATATAGCTTCCGATATTTTAAATATAGTTCCAGTGATATCTAGGAATTTTTCGTACATATCTGTTTATTTAAAATTTAAATTTTTCTAGATTTTTAATTTATATAACCAATAATAATCATATTTACGCCATGTTTTTAAAATGTATTCTTGATAAATAGATTTAGATAAAGCAATAGTAAATATTAAATATAACAAAAATGTCAAATACTATAAATTCCTCATATATTTTTTTATTTTTTTTTCTTATAAAACTGATATTTTTCTTCTTCGAGTTATTTTCTCATCACTCATGTTATATCTATTAATTATATTTAAAATTATACGTTTTTAAATTCTTCTGTTCTTTATGTATGAGGAAATTAAAATGGTATTTGATAAAATTAGTGTAAAATGATATTCAAAAAATGGTTGTTCCAATAATCGGCTAAGTTAGTTTAATATTATAACAATAATGTTTAGAGTGCTAATTATATATCGGAATTAAAATTGATACCTGTTAAAGCAATATTAAGATATTTATCTGTAGCTCTTGGTCTATTTTGGACAAGAGCGATGACTTTTTAATTCCTTGACAGTTTTCCTTAATTATTTTTACATTGATTTGATAATAAAATAATTAAATCGTCCGGTAAAGGATCATTTTTTTGGCAAATTTCTTTAATAGATTCGAAATTGAGATTTTTTTAATGCGATTTGTTGCTAATTTCAGGCAGACAATATGTTTTATGTGTGAATCATTTGGCAATGGAAACGCACGGTATAAAACATTTGGAATGATCGAGAATTTTTAGCGCATATCGTCAATGTTGCGGGTATATCGTATGGAATTGCTGTTATTACATTAAATAGATAAAAACGGTAGCTTAGTATATTTTTGGATTTTATTCCTGTTAATAATTATAACAACGAAATATATTTATATGCACTTAGTACACTTTAGTATATTTTTAATAATAAAATCGTCGAAAACTGCCTAGCTCGTTGTGTGGTGCGTATTGTTGGCGATTAAATACATCTTTTTTTAAATATAACTCTGTAATTAGATTAGGTCTTGATTGTAAGAAGGCATATCGGACTACCTTAAGCACTCGGAACTCCTTATTTTAAAGAAATTCATAACATCCTTATATCACATTGGTTCTAATAAAGTTTTCTTCTAATAGAGGCAGTAAAAAGTTATTATTATTTTTTTATTATTATAATTTTATTTAGACAATTCGAAGAATGTACTCCTTTAGCTGACGAATTTGAAAAAAATTGAATTTCTTTTTATTTATTTCAAGTTGTGACTAATTAATAATTTCATCGTAAATATTTATTTGTTAAATAAATTTCATTCATATCAATAAGAATAATATCGCTGTTCTTTAAGAATTAATTTTATTTACTCTTACATCACTATTAGAATATATATATTTGTTGATTTTATATAATAAAATATATAATTCATCTATATACTAACAATATGTTTCTTGTGTCTTATGATTTATAAAGGAATGTAGAATACGCACATGTAATTATTGTAAATACGTTGTGTTAAACGATTCGTCCAATCGATGTACCATCGGAAAGCATTTATATTGAAAAGAGAATCTCTGTGTGTAATTTTGTTTTTTTTTTATATTATTTTCAACTGTGCCAAATTGTTTGAATCACTTTTATTAACCAATTTTATCATTCCAATAGACAGAAATAAAGTTGCAACTGAGAAATTATTTGGACTGAATTTTACAAATTGTGTTTTATTTTATGGCAACCCTAACATACTTCTTTTCTTGCTTTGGCTCCTAAAATGCGTTCTATCTTTACAGATTTTTATTTAGACCTACGTCGTTAATTAATAATAACTTAGATGGGAACTTAAAATTAAAGGTCAAAATAAAATAAAGAAAAATATAACTTTATAATTATCTATTAAACTTAACATTGTACTTACTTAAAATTACTAATACTACGGTATCTTATGTTTAAAACAACTATACTGCACATCAATTCATCATAAAATAATCGATTTGTCTGAGAAAAAACAAACCAATAATTTTTTTGTTTCGATTACGGCAAAAAAATCTTCAATTGAGTTGTGAGATAGAAATTTTCTAAAAATGTTGATTATTAATTCACAATTTCACATAAAAAGAGCACTAAAACGTGCTTACTTTTAAAATATAATAAAAATGGATAACGAGTTACCGATATTTTTAACAAATATTTGTTTTAGCTGCTTAAATTTTTAACCTTTTGCGATATTTAAATTTTGGACAAATCAAACAGAAAAAAAATCTAAATGGCAGTGACATAAAAACGCAAAACCCATATTTACATCGACAAAAACAATAATCTTACATTTCAGATAAAAAATGCACACTAAATGTCTAACAGAATCCTGCAACTGAATAACCGAAGGCTCGACTTGAGATCAATTATAAAACCCTGGACGATTATGAATAAGAAATAATTTAGATAAATCGATTATCTGTATGAAAATATCGATTTATTTCATTGCAGAAACACAGCAAGTTGAAAAGGACGGTTATTAAAGCTTTCATCAACCATCTAACTAATGGCTTGTCAGAAATCAAGCAAAACAATAAATATAATTTGATTATATAATTAACACAGAAAAATATATTTTTAATTACATAACACAGTGTCATGTATATTATAATTCTAATATTCATTTAAATAGGAAAGTAGTTACATCATCCTGTAAGGTGGGACGTGTATGGGCCCTATGGCTTACTAAACTAGCGTGTAAATTCGACATCGTCTAGCGCTAATTTATTCTTTATAAAAAAAATGTCACGACGTAATAATCGATTACAAAATCGATTTCATGAAATCGATAACGATATTATTCATAATCGTCACGTATGTTTAATCTTTGGAAAGTTTAGAGGCGCCATCTAGCGGCAGCTTCGCGCTGTCGGGGCGCCGGGCGCGGCTGTGGTCCCTGGGGTGACGTCACCCGCGTGACGTCACTCGTGCGGCATGTCCTCCTGTAGTAACCAACTCTCGTTCTCAGCCCGCGCCAATTGCTTCTTAAGGGTACAGTATAATTTAAGTAACGAGTCCTGGAAATAAATAATATTTATATTGCCCATATTGTTATGCATAAGGTACATAGCCGAACTACTATGTAGCCAAAAAAACGTATTGGATTGCAATTTTTTATCTAATAAAAAATATTACGGCCACAACTGTCATGAAAGATCTGTCATTAGAGGGAAAAGGGATTTTTAGTATCATTAATATGATTACAGATTAATTTGTCAGTGATAATAGAAAAAAAGTGTGTTTTATACCTTCTCATTTTCAAGTTGTATGACTTCTCTCTTCTGCCGCAGCTCGTCTGAGTCCATCTGCTCCTCGAGCTCCGATTTGTGGTTGCTCAGGTACGCCAGCTCCGTCTGCGTCTGTAAACAATTACATATTTGTTTCTATAATCTTTTCATCAAAGATGGAAAGCTATGGGTGTTATAATATGAATAAAAAATTGAATAACAAATTATATTCAAAGTAAGGGTAGAAGTTTACACACTTATTAAGGAATTCAAAATAATAAAAATTGATAAAAAGGTAAGCGTCGCGGCTAAAATATAAATAATACTTTAACCGTTGGTTTCTGAAATCAAATCTCGTTTAAAACATATTGTGACAGGAATGACGTGTTGATATATACAGAGATTTTGGTGTGAGAAACCCACGGTAAGGTTTGTAGCATTTTTCATGATTTCGATGACAAGCTAGTAACTAACGATAAGTTGAATTATTTAATTCAACTCACTTTAAGGTATTCCTGTGCGAGTTGCTTGTGCTCTTCGAAAATCCGTTTTGACTCCTCGTTGTTGAGGTCAGGTGAGATGGGTCGCAGGTGCGGGTCCAGCATCATGTGCATAGAGTCCAAGTCCGGGTCGGGCGCGGGCTGCGCGGCGCCCTCTGCCGGCGTCGACCCACTACTGTTACCTACAACAAATAGAAAAATACAAATTAATTTTGAAAATCATGAGCCTATTAGACTGTATCTTTGTCACACCGTATTATAAAAAGACTAAAATTATGCCTCATCTAGAATAACATCGTTTTCTATAAAATCGGTCTGCCAGTCTGCAGCAGTTAACAATGTAACGGGCAAACATTGCCTTTTACATTATCTGTAAAGAAAACGCACGATTTTATGAGTGAACACTATTTCTAAGGTTCAACAATTACGTGATCGAGGTAAGGTGAAATTTACAAATCAATTTTAAAACTGTCTCATAAATTTTTGTTGTATTATGATAAAATCTCTTTGTTTATGTCTGTCTATTCGCGGCGAAGTTTTACTGAAAGTATGTCAAGAATACAGTTTGAATGTTATAAGCAGGTATGTATTTATTTAAATAAATGATAACAATTGCGATGTTTGTACAGACTCAAAAGAATAAGTCGCAGTTCCATCACAGGGTTAACTACGTCAAGAGTTAATTTTACTTCGGCTTGGTGATGTCAGACGCTTCACCTAGATTTCTACTTTCAACATACGTTTCCTTTACACGTAAATAGATGGCGGCAGTGTACGTAAGCAAGGCAGGCTGCTCCACTCCGTCGTGATGCCACAATGCAAATTTTTAACAATGTTTACAATACTCGATAACAATGCTTGATCACATTATATCACAAGTTTAATTAAATGAAAAAATATATAACACAAGTGTTTACGGAAAATAAATTGTAGGATTTTATTGGAGCACCACTGAAGTCGGATGCGGAAGCGCGCACAGGAGGACAGGGATGACGCAAACCACAATTTAAACGAAGAGCTTGCTTCGCTTGTTCCAGAAGAGATGACGTCGTGACC